AATGCTCGTATTTAAAAAAAAAAAAAAAAAAAAAAAAAATCTGTTTAAACATCGGCATGTATATTAAATTTTCCTAAAGGATGAAAAATATAAATGCATTTGTTTAGCTACTGTATATCACACCGAGGTAGAAAACGTGACTGCTGTATAGGCAGAATTTCAGTGCATTACCAAAATATGAAGTTTATTCAATTCTTTTAATCCATCCTCCAGTTAAATTTTTTTTGTTCCCCATTTCCCTTCCTTCTTTTTCTCATGTGCCTTCTGGATCGGTTCTTTCACTCTGCTCTTAATTTGATGACTAGCAGCTGCAGATCATTCCGCATGCAAATAAACATCCAGGTTTCTGGAAACATCCAACGTTCCGATTAGCATTTCTTTCTTTTTCGCATTCTCTCTTTTCTCACTCCTGCATATTTTTTAGTTCTCACTTACATCCACTTTCTCAGTTTCCACATGCTCCAGTGCCATTATCTACATTTTCTGAAATGTCCATACATGGGTGTCTGCCAGGCCAAACCGAAGCAGTGTCCTTTTTTTAGGGCAATTAGAAAGATTCAAACTGAAAGATTGGCTGCAGAAAACTGGGGTACACGGTTTCATCATTGAAATCAAGACTGCAGAGACTTGCAGCTCTGCATGAGTATAGCTTTCTGTTTGAAAACAGACTATTTGCTCTAATTGATGTTTACTCAGAAGTTCTCTGCTTGCTGGAGACACACTCACACTGGTGAAGGATGAAGCTGTCGTGACCAGAGCACAGATGCAAATGCTTGCATTTCCAATGTATTGCAAGTGCGCATTGTTCATTCATAAATAAAATATTGAGCCTACTTACCTTATTAATCCATGTTCCTGCGCTTATTATGAATGATCCATCATGCACAGTAGTCCAAAGACAATTTTTTTTTATATCTTTCATCATAATGTACACTACTGGTCAAAAGTTTGAAATAAGTAAGGTTTTTAATGTTATAAAAAAAATATTATACTCACTAAGGCTGCATGTAAATAAATACACAGTAAAGGCAGTACTATTGTAAAATATTACTACAGTTTAAAATAAACTTTATTTTATTTGATTATATTTTCAATTTATTCCTGTGATGCAAATATGATCATTACTCCAGTCTTCAGTGTCACATGATCCTTCAAAAATCATTCTAATATTCTGATTTGCTCGATTATTATCAATTATTTTTGGCGCCCAGTTATTAATAATAGTATCAATGTTGAAAACGTTTTTTGCTGCTTAATTGGTATTTTTTGTTTTTCAGGATTCTTTGATGAATAGAACGTTCAAAAGAACAGCATTTGTTTGAAATAACATTATAAATGTATTTACTGTCACTTTATTGATTTAATGTGTCCTTTCTAAATAAAAGTATCAATTTTATTTATTTATTTAGCACAACCATTCAGCTTGGGGTATCACAGTTTTCACAAAAATATTAAGCAGTAAAAATTGTCAGCATTGATGATAATAAGAAACATTATGAATAATTGAGCACCAATAATAATGAATACTATCTGCATCACAGGAATAAATAAAATTTTAAAGTATATTTAAATAGAAAGCAGTTATTCTAAATTGTAATATTATTATTTTTTATTTAAATTGTATTTTAATAATATTGTAATAATATTTACAGTTTTTACTCTATCAAATAAATGCAGCCTTGGTGAGCATAGAACATTTATTTCAAACAAATCATAATTATTTTCAAACTTTTGAGTAGTGTATCAAGAATGATTTTCTTGTTCAGCTGATTCATTTCTCCTCTCAAATCACCTGACTTTATTCTGATACGTATCAATTCTCAATAAATAAAATCAAGCCCTGTCCAACATTTTTCTTGTTGAATATTTTGATTATAGAAGTAAAATGGGTTTCAAACGCCATTTCACATTGGCTTTAACACATTACTGTGATATAATGTCACATTTTCCGATAAGACCGCAAGATTCTCTTCAGACTGTTGCTCCACCATGACAGTACGGTAGTTGATCTAAAAGAGAAAACGGGAAAAGGAAGACAGTTTTTGCTAATGTCTGCTATTGCACGCTTGCAGTCATCCTGAGAATGCACCGTACTGTGCTATGAGTTCTTTCACAATGCAATGCCACGTGAAATCGAGCTCGCATAACTAGAAGTGTCTGCGTAAAGCATGTTCTCTTGGCATCTTCATTAGTTTGCCATCTCTGTTCATTGTCAATAGCTCCGTTTAGTCTGCTGTTTTCCAGCCAGATTGACTTCACACACTAGACCAGCATGATTGGAGGGAAAGACGAACAGCTCGAGATGAAGCAGAGGGCTAGAGAGATGGATCCGAGAGAGAGAGAGAGTGGGTTGAGTCAGATTTCTCATCAGTGGGCAGATTTTCTTCATGGCCGGAGACCAACACATCAAGAGCCAACAGCAGATGGCCTTACAACAATAAAATTTCTCCACTTCTCTCCATTTTCTCTTCTCTCTCATTTTTACCTTCACCTATGAGCGCTGCACTGTCTGAAGTCATCCACTCATTCTTTCCTTATGTTTACCTCTTGTGAATGTTAATGGAATGTGAATCATTTGTTTTGCGCAATTAGAGATGTTCGTGATGCACTGCATTGTGTTTATAATTGGCCCTTATGTATTTTTTGGACCGTGCTGTAAAGAGAAGCTCAGCAGTGGCCTTGGTAACATCAGTTTTCCTGTGGAGATGCTGGCTTGTTTGGCAAACGAGACTGGAGCCAGATCTGACAGACAGCGCCGGGCTTAAAGCTGTCATGATGCCTCCGTTCATGCAGACGAACTCCTCTTCTCTCTGCTAATGGCTCTCTCCTTCTCTTCCTCAGGGCATCTGGCGTATTCCAGTAGATGAGATCGATCGTCCTGGTAGTTTTGCATCTCATATGAACAGATCCATCGTGCTCTTGCTGGATGTTCTGTCTCAACTGAAAGATCACCACACTTTACTTAAAATCTCCCTCATGCTTCAGAGAACCCCTGAGCAGGGAAAGTAAGACAATGCAAATAATTAATTTGTTTATTTTGTTTTGCTCATTTAATTAAATGTGCATATTTATAACAGTAAATGGAGTGAAGTAGCCTCTTGAAATGTAGTGTTGCCAAATGCTTGTGAAGAATTCAATTAACCTTGCATGTTTGTTATGAATGTTTGGTATGAAATGTATTGCATTTCATACCGTTATCATAACATTTTTTTTGTGGGTTTGTTTTCCCGTTTTGTTATATATGAAGCATATGGCATGAAGCATTTTAATGCAAGGACATATCATATCTTTTTATGTTGTGTGTTATAGGAAGTACTTAAGAGATGTGGACCGACAAGTTTTGGCCAAGCGAGCATTTTTCTTCACTGTAAAAGTGCTGGAAGACAATCTGGATAAACTCACAGGGGTATGAAAGCTAAATTCTCATTTGTTTTGGTTTGTTTTTTGAAGGTTTTTTTATTTTTCATTTTGTTTTGTTTGTATGTGTTTTTATTTTTATATGTATGTATATAT